AAATGTCTTTGTAGGCTGAAGCAACCATTGCAAATTTGCTTAATTCTGTGAAAGAGTACTACTTCTGAAATCCTTATAGTAATCAAGAAGAAAATGATGCTAAATCAAATCTAAATTTTTACTATATTTTTAATCATGAACCTGCTTCCTGACCAAGTGCCTCTAGAAATTCTTGCTTTAGAAGAGTCTGGCCATTTTTGTCTAGCTTGTTTAAGTGACAGAACAGAACTTTAAATAGCAATAGCTTCATCTATAACTAGAAAAGCAAACAAACCTGTCTTTGCAAACTGTTTAGCAGACCATTATAAAGATATTAAGATATCATAAGCGAAGCTCGTGCCTCACCTTTGACCTTCTAAGAATAACAAAAAATGTAACATTTCTAGGATTTTCCCTGCTTTAATACCAAGATGTTTTCCCTGAGCCCCTCACATCATATATTACAGTTGTGTTTTCCAACTCAAAGACTCTGCTCTTACTGCCCCTGAGCAACAACAGATGAATATACTATCAGAAACACAAGAGCTGGCAAACTGTAAATACCACAACTGAGGCCATCATTAATACTCAATGCTTTGGTTTTAATGGCATCAACTGCATTTATTATACTTCAGATGGTTTAGGGTAACAGACAAAATGGATGTGTATATTTTATGTTCTGGATGACTAACCAATTTAATCTTTCTAAATGGATGAATGGTTTCAGGGTGTATGGGAAGCAACACTAATGCTATAAAGTCTGCAAGAGAGCCATTTGTAGTGAAGCCAAAGCCGCAAACTTTTATAATCTTTTTTCCTTTTGTTTAACCCTTCCACCTGCTGCTCAGTCTGCCTCTTTTAGTTAAATGAACCGTATTTGTTAAGGTAGTTTTGGCTTCTTGCATTTCACTGCTGTTAGAACATGTATCATTCAAGTCATTAGCACCACAGCTTAATATATGATCAGTAAGGGACCTTTCAAGAGACTTCACCAAGGAAAAGGACTTCTTGAAATTAAGAGATGAGCAAACGTCATAGGCCACTTCCCAGCCTTTTGTGCGCAGAAAAACATTGGTCAAATCTCCATCTAAAGTAACAGAGAATTTACTCCTAATTGTGCAAGTTTGTCTCTCAATAAAGCACTCAGAAATCGCTTCCCTGTTGACAAGCTCTTGGCACCGCACTCTTTCTGCTGATTGAGAGCACCAGGAGAAGGACACGGCTGTGCTGGAAGACAGATGGGAGTGTGGGTTTCCTGGTCCTTCGTGCTGGTACTTCAGATACCTGAAGATACAAGGCTGACTGGTGGAGAAGTGGGACTGGCCACACACCACCCTTCTCCCCTGCTCCCCTTTACTGGGCACATGGCGTCTTTGTCCACGTGCACGTTGAGGTCGCAATGCAGCCACGGCTTCCTATCTGCTGTGCAGCAGTTAAAGTGGAAAGTGTAAGAGCAGAGGGAAGGACAGAGCCAAGCAGTATAAAAAAAGGCAAAAAAATATATTGTAGCAGTGTGGACTGAGCCTATAAACAGTGAGGAAGCCTTAGCAACATGCCTTCTGCTTTTTCAGAAGGGGAAGGGCACTTGCTAGCACACGCATCGTCGGGTCAATGTGGCTTACTGCCGATTGTCAAGCGGAGGTCTCGAAATGTAAGTTGTTGCTATAATGACATGCTTTGAAACAGAAATAGCCACTGAGGCACCATGGAGAAAAAGAATCTGGCTGGAGGTGTCTGAGCAGAAGATGTTTCTGCGGTAAAGTTCAGTTGCTACAATATTTTTTTCATTAATGAGCTTCCAGTCCAGCTTCTCCCTGGTTCTCCCTTGACAAAGGCACATACGTTTTAAAAGGCATGCAATAACATTATGAAGACAACAGTGTAGTGTCTACTTTACAAATTCATAGTGTCATTTTGGGAG